ATGGCCCGTTCCGATATTGGATTTTTAGGCCATTGAAAAGCCTTGGAACGGCCCGTTCCAATTCGAGAACGGCCCGTTCCGGACTTGGGAACGGCCCGTTCCGGGCCACTAAAAAAAGTTAATTTGGGTTTTTGGGCCCTCTGATGTCCCATCTTGTTTGTATGCCCCCCGGACAAAATGGGGTGTCTACAGCCACATACTCTTGTACTGACATATTTCCTTGTTGCAGTCTCAAAAACTCAGCTTCCTTAGCATACCTGGCACTATCTGGAAAATATTTCTCTAGAAACACTTTTTTAAAGTTCTCCCAATTCACCACTTCCCCTCTAGCTTCCATACGGGCCGTCCCAATATCGGAACGGGCCGTTCCAATACCAGAACGGGCCGTTCCGTTTTCAGAACGGGCCGTTCCATGGTACGTAATTTGAACGTAACATTCAGATCCGAAACAGGCCGTTCCGAATCCAGAACGGGCCGTTCCGGCCCACATCTGATGCCTATAAATTGAAGCCTCGGGCAGAGTTCTCAGGGGGCTAGAGAAATTTCGAATAAGACTCCTTTGAGCACGAAAATTCTCTATCTCTCTCCCTTCTATTGTATTTCTTGAGATTTGTGTCGCATCTCTTTTTTCTCTCTCCTTTCTATTGTATTTCTTGAGATCTGTGAGGCATATTGTAGTGTGAAAGGTCGCCACAAAGCACCTTTTTCATATTTGAAGATTCAATAAAGCTCGTTCAAGAGGTATTTCAATCAATCTTCCTCTCTCTATTTTATTTTGTTATCTTTAATAAATATTGTTATATTAAAAGCAATCATGTAGATATTTTTGAGTTAATTGTATAATTTAAATTTCAAGCATGTAAATAAATCTATTAATAAAGGGGATTAAATATTTAAATTATTAATTCTTATCACGTTAACTTCATCATAGGGTACCGATTGAGGGCGCTGTAGGGGTGCTTAATACCTTCCCTACATGTAACTGACCCCTGAACCCAATTCTGGTTATCAAGGCCATTATTGGATTTTTAAAAACCTTTTCTTTTTCCAATGTTTTGAGTAAAACATTGGTGGCGACTCCATGAAC